CTATACCCGGTGGACGCTGTACAACAGTGAGTACTTTCGTATCTACGAGTATCACATTCCCATTCTATTTTTAGTGTACATTAGAAAAACCACGATATATAAATAGATTTCAAAAAGTGTATATATTCAGCCAGTCAGTGACTTTATAATCATATTGTGATTGCGCCGACGTACAATGGACGTTGTTGAAATTTGAGTAAATATTTCCGATTTATTGCCGATTTATTGCCGATTTATTATTATGGAATGATTTGATTTAAAATATCAGCGGTTATTAAGGTAAAATTTTGTATAGTGTACTAGTTTGCTGAAATTGATTTTCAAGGCGTGTAATTAGATAAAATGTGTATCGAGTGTACAAAAGGCGTTGCATTCCTTGTGATTATTTATATATATGTTTTTGCGGTTAGGTCAGATGTCATTTCTGTACTATTACTCCATTCCATTTGTTGTATTTTGATAATCAACCTTTTTGATTGGTTTTTGTATACAGTGCTTGCAATGGAGAGTTATAGCTGTATTTCAGAAATTAATAGGGTAAAATGCTTTGCTGAACAACATCCATTTCCGGATGAAACCTCGATAAAAGTAGATCCTCATTTTGCAGGATTGTGACATTAAGATCACTTTTTATTAAAATATTGTTTGCATAGTGGTCAATAAGCTTTGAAAGTTCAAAACTATGCACTTTCAGTTTAAAGAAACATTTCTAAACATGAAAGCTAAAAATATGAAAATTACTATTTCATTGATAAAAGCATTGTGTAAACCTACGCTTCAAACTTCGTATCCACGCATGCGCGTGAAATAAAAATGAATTACGACAGACGCTGTATAAAAATATGCCCAACATCCAAAATAAATATTAAATCAAACAAGTAAACCTTATTTACTCTTAAATTTACACTTGCATAGTTTTTTCTATTTCAAACTGTTTTACAAAACGAGCATATACAGATATATGTCTTATTTAGTAGTATGTAACATTGTAATGGAATAAAAGTTAACGTTCTGAAAACGTATTCACGAATTCGAAAACCTGGCTAAACGCCGTTTTCCGGTACCTTCTGTACATAGCTCTGGGGAATTCATCTAGTGGAGTGTAATAGTGAACTCGATGTTTTCGGCCTTTTTTAAATTAAATTGAAATAAAACAATTATTTCTTTATATGAAAATAATTAAATATCATTGTATGAATAATTCCATGCAAAAAAATAAAGTAAATACACAAGTTTACGCAGAAAAAAACCTTATTTATTACGTTAGATTCCACTGCGTCTGTTTAAATTTTATTGATTTTCATTATAAACAATTTATTTTTTGAAAAATTTGCAATAGATATTAAAGGAATATTGATCATTTTCAAATACATCAAGTTTTTCCAGTCCTGAAACGGTAAAATAATGATAGAAAAACAGAAATATCATGTTAGAGTGTTATGTACTTCATTACGTGTAATTCCCCAGAGCTAAATCCGTAACGTACCGGAAACAGAGTTTAGCTAGGTTTTCGAAAAGGTCAATTGTCATATAATTGCATATAATAGAACCCTATCAACATAGTGGCATCGGAGGAATATGCAATTATTTGTTGAACACCTGCAGTGTGAAGTATTTCTGCCACTTAAGTGAAATATTTCGCCCAAAAGCCATTTTCGGGAAGGGGAAGATTCGTACTCAATATTATTCGATTTGAACAGACGAACTCAATATTATTCGAAATAAGGATTCGTACTCAATATTATTCGAACTTAGCCTTCGTAATCGGTATTATTCGAACTGACAATCATGGCAGATACGTTTAGATCCCCTGGACATTTAGATGTTGAAAATGGTAACATATCACATAACTTTATCAAATGGAAGCGCCAAAAGGAAATTTACTTGACTGCCAGTGGAAATGATGAGAAAGATGAAAAGATACAAGTAAATATCCTATTACACTGTGCTGGACCTAAAGTTATAGAGATTTATGATCAATTTACATGGACAAATGCAGAACATAAACTAAAAGTGGACAAAGTATTTGACAAAATAGAAAGCTATTGCAATCCAAGAAAAAATAAGTGCTAGAATCACACAGATTTTGGGTATCAAATCCAGATGAATATACACCATTTGACAGTTGTCTTACAGAGTTTGAAAGAATGTTGAGTCTTGTAATTTTGATACACAGAAAGAAAGAATGCTTAGATATAAAATTGTGTTTTACTTTAGCAGCAACGGAAAACAACAAGAACTGCTGTTAAATGAAGAAAATCTGGACTTTGAAAAGGCAATCAAAATATGCCAGACTTACGAACAATCGAATAAGCATGTGAAAGAAGTTCGCAATACAAATGATCAAACAGTCCACAAGGTTGAGCAGACATATTCATCTAATTCTCATTCCGGCACCCGTCCCAAACAACAGTTGAATCTTCCTAGTCAACCGCGTCAGTATAAACCACCAGTGGTAAAGAAACAACAACGTCCACATCAGAATCGATCACAATGTAAATATTGTGGATACAATCACGATTTTAGAAAAGAAAAATTTCCGGCATGGGGTAAATTATGTGAGGGATGTGGCGGCAGACATCATTTTATATAACAGATGTAAGAAAATACACAAAATTGAAATTGAATCATCAAGTGAAGATGAATTTTGGTTACAATGTGTCGACATAGGCCAAAAATCCAAAATAAAAGCAAAAATGATTGTGAAGTTGGTTTTCAAATTCAACAGAAAATATGTAAAGAAAAGTCAAAGAAAGAAAATTTTCTCTAAACTTAAAATGTGGAATAGGTCAACAGTAAGTTCACTTGGTGAAGTATACTGACTAACAAAAATCAAGGTGGTATCACGGCTTTGATTGTAACTTACTGTAAATCAGTATATCTACGTGTTAAAACAATTTAATACATTTAATTTATATGCAGAAAAATGCTTATCTGTAAATACATATATGCAGACAGTCACTTCTAATTCTATTTTTTTTATTAACATATTAATATTGAAATGTCTCAGCATGTAAGGGACTCGAACATCTAGCTGATTCTCGGAATACCGTTCTTCCAACTGAGCTATCCGGCCGGTTACACATAATTATCTCCCCTAAGTAGTAATCAGTTTTATTTATGCATGTACATGTACATATCTTTGGACAGATAAGAAAATATAATGGTGGCAGATTTGTGCCTTGGCATTTATTTGTTTCGCAAGGCAAAAACACAAAAATACAACAAATTAACCACTTTGTCATACCTTCCTGTTTTCGCCTGGCACACAGCTAACATTTTAGTATTTTGCCTGGCGGGTTAGCTCTTTCCGAAACCTGGTGGTTCAGACCCGTGTGCCTACATTAAAAAATAAGACGGGAGATGTCCTTTACAAACTATAGAAACATATTAGAATTAATAAAATATGAATTCAGTATTTGATATTTTTGAGACCTGATATTTTTTCTAGACCTTTTCTTCCCTTTATTTAAGGACCTGTATAATGGTGTTGTAGTTAAGATATCTGTTTGCTGCCCTGTGTGTATAAAATTCCATCATGGGCCCTGTCACCATTAGAAATGTACACCAATTTAACCTTATTACTGGATAGGTCTGTCACAAGTTCAGAAATATATTTTGAAATATATTATTTACAATCAGGGCTGAGCCACCCATAACATTTTTTTTCCATGACTTTAGACTATTGATATATATAGGTTAAATTATTAGCCACAAATGAGCTTATGATTGCATGGGCAGTCAAAGCCATTAGTAAAAAAGGGTTGACCTGGGATAACCCCATGGAAGAGTGAAATATGACACTCAACACCTAAAGGTACATTCTAAATACATGTATTTAGTTTGGTGTTTATGATCAGTTTTAGCACACATAGTAATTTAATTACCCCTGATACCACAAATATGAATTTATTTAGAGTCCTGAAGATCATTTTATGATGAAATCTTAACTGAAAAACCAGGTTTAAAGTTCTGAATAATTATAAAATTCCTTCCCACAATAACTAGAAGGTACATAAAGCCAGTCAAAACAATATTTCTATCCATAATTATTCATCATTCATGGACCTCCATCCATTTGATAAATTTCTCCAACTGGTAAATTTTTTATCTTATTATGTTCTGTTTGTTAATATATTTTTTTATGTTTATATACAGCTAGAATAGTCTGTAATGACTAAGATAGACAGATAAGAACAAACTATTTAGTAAACATGAGTTACCGGTACATCCCTTCAAATGGAGAAAAAGATGAAACCCATAAGAAATTGCCATGTCTGACAGACAGCAAAATTATAAAAATCTGCAGGCTAAGTTTGATTAGGCCGATTAGGGGGTAGTGGTAATAATTGTGGGTCAAATTTTAAATGATATCAAGGGATGTTTCTGATATGATTTACTTTAAATAATGGGTCATTATCAATGAATGTTTCTTTCAGACTTCTATGTCCATGTATAATAGATTATTGACATTGCCAGCTAGATAGCTCAGCTGAGTGAGTCAGTACAGCCCACATACATATATAACGTCGCCTTAATTCCAGAGTGTCGTAACTCCAATTTTGAAAAAATGAGTGTTTGGTATCAAAATGTTCGTAATTTTTTGCTCTATCTAATGGTAAGAACAACATCACTCTGGTTCTTGTCTGTAACGATATATTGAATGGGTCAGAGTGCTGTAAGTCCAGAAATTGTGATAAAAATAACGTCCATAATATCGCAACTTCTGAACCAATAGTTTGTTAAGCAGATTTTTCAAGGTATCAGGAATGACATTTTACGTTTTATATTTCTTGATAACATGTAAGTGTTTTGCTTTAAATGTTATCTAATTATCTATAGATTATTATTTTAATGAACTGTTTCAAACCTTAGAAAGAAATAATAATTACTCTAAAACCCTTGAGCTAAATTCAAAGCACCATGCTGTATTATGAAATTCGGATAGCATGGAAATCGGATAAATTGATACAAACTTTCAATATTCACAAGGATCAGGGTGTCATTTTATCAACGGTCGTACGCCCGGTCGTAGCTAAGATTTGGTCGTACGACCGATCTTACGGCTACGTCGCGTTTTATCATCATGGTCGTAGCTAAGACGTCGTAAATTTACGTCGTAACTTTAAGGCTGCTTCAGACCAGTCGTAAGTAGTCTAAAGATCTTAAAAATGGCGGCCATTTTTGCATAATTCCCGATAGGAACTTTCAAACACAAATATTTGAACAATTGAAGTTTACAACTAACGTAGGTTTTCCGCGTACATGTTAATGTACAGTGCTGATCCTATTTTAACATCCCAGGAACGCAACTATCACTTCCAGTTTAAATCTCTGGATAAATTCCACGAAGAAGCTATGGTTAGTTATATTACTTTTGTTTTAGTATAGTACAACCGACGTTTAATATAACTCCTGTCACATCTGTAGTCTGATTAGCAAATAATTCTTACAAAACTGTACGGTATTCTATACCGTTCTATACTTTTCATTTCGAAATATTTTAGTACAGATATTTCGGACAGTGCAGATTTCGGACAGAACATAGATCTAACAATTGTCAATAATAATTGTGTAATTGTCAAGCTATAAAACCAATTTGATTGTTATAATTAGTCAAGTATCTTCTTTTGTAGACCTTTCAATGAAGTTGCTACAGTATCTAGGTGAAAGACATGTGTTAATAATGTGAAATCAACATGGCAACATTATGTTAACCTACAGTACAGTGCTGTTATGGGAATGCATATGAAACTGGGGCACTGTTGTTTGGTAAAGCATGTACATGAATGCGAAATGAGCATTTTAGATCCAATTTGGTGTATCACATGAAAAGAGGATTGTAAACAAAGGACAAGTAACTTGTGCAGACAGGTGAGTTTGAAATATAGACAGTTTTAGAGTTCACTTCACCCCTCTTTCTATGAAATCTGATTAAAGCACTACACCTCACTTTTTGTTATGTGTTGTTATGTGCTTTACACAAATTAAGGTGGAACATGTGAAATGCAATCAATTATGGTGATTAAAATATTCATTGTTTTAATACATTTCTTTTTATATAATAAGTTTGGACCAAATCAAAATACTTTAGAGATATTACTTTTCCCCTAATATATTTATATGGTATAATGATAATCTGTGAAGTACATTATTATTTTTTTTCTAAAATAAAATTATCACTGTAAAATTTCAAAATAAGTTTGACTATTTAAAATAACTTACTTTGTATTAGTCATTTAAAGTGGGTGACCTACTAACTTAGATATGAGATATCTCTTTCACCCCTCATTTGTTCTAACATTGATACTGGGAAATACATGTATGTCCCAGTTTGACAGTACATTGATAGTTGTGTTGAAAATCACACATAAAATTTTTTATCAACAATTATATAGCAGATTTTTCTTTATTTTTATGTCACATTGATACTTGAAAATTGTCTTTCATGTAATGTTTCAGAAAATGGTGTAATATATATCAAAGTTCCATGTTGCAAGTTAACTTGTCAGTGTTAAAAATATTGAAAATTGCATTGAGTTAAACATTTTATAAAAAAAATACTAAAAAAAGAAAATTAACAAACAAAAGGTTTATTTGTTGATGAAATATTTATTCTAGAAAGGGATGATGGGTGAAGTGTCTTAATGATTTTGGGATGTGAAGTGTCTTCAGAGGTTAAGAGTCTTGTTTCCACATTTAAACAAATACTATTGTAATATATTGTAGTAATGTTAGATTTGTGGAAATAATTATCATATTTACTCATAGGTTTATTAAAGTTTATGTAGATATTATCCTAGTAGGCTTCTTTTCAGGTATCACTTGATTTTCTTTTATACGAGGGATGATCAAAAATTAACCGGACTTTGTAAATGATTCTTAACCTGTTAAATGAATTTACATAACAATACACGGAAAATAAATCGGAATCTATCCCCTAAATGATACAAAAAATACCATCAAGATATATTAGCAAAGAAAAAAGTTATGCTGTTATTTGCATGCACATGTAAAGCAATGCGGCGCACGGTATTATTTTAAAATTGACGTTAACGACGTCACAAGCGTATTGTCCTTAACGGAGCAGATTTTTACTCATTCACGGACTAGGCCAATATGTGGTACAGTCATGTTACTGATGCAGCGGATCCACTGCCTATATATATTTCTGTACAAGTGGGTATCATTTTGTATTTTAATAGAATGAATGATGATAAAGAGCTCCTGTAATGACGCAAACTTCCGTTATTTCCTTCTGTAACTTGATTATTGAAAAAATCGCACATGCAATTAACTGTATTATGTATTACAAATAATGTAAACTAATGTTGCTGAATGATAATGTATCAAACATACGAAAAAATAACAGAGTAATACAACTATGATCAAAATTGTCATTATTTTAAAATAAATAAAACGCATAGCCAATTTGAACAGTGACTGTTAAATTCTTGACACAATTTCTCCATAAGACTACTGCGTAAAATAAGAAAATAATTGATACAATTGCAAACCAAGAATACAATATATGTAAATAATGCATTAATTATTATCATTTTAAGATCCTCAGAGTTGACTGCACCGTCCCGTAGTTACTTTCGAACATCGTTGACAATGTCCGCAGTCAATCGACTGTCATTTTTCAACGTCTTGGCGATTGACGTCACCAACGTCCTTGAAAATGTTTTTTTCTGTCTCTCCTTTACTTGTTTTCTATTTCTCTATTATCCTTTCTTAATCCTTTAAGCTAATCAAAAAATATGCTGTGGCTTTATGGAACTTTTCCCTTGATAACCATAATCTTTTTCTACGTTTTAAACAGTTTCTCGTCTTACATTTGACAAATTTTTCCTATTGATCGATTTTCGAGACATTCCGACGACTTAGTTTTAACGCGAGTATTTGTTTAACATGTGACGTTTGAATTGTGATTGTAAATATAAATATGGTTTAAATGAAGTCATTTTTACTGACAACGTCAAAGATATGGTACATGACGTTTTGGCGTATTTTAAAATATAAATGTGCCATATTGTAAAATACACGCAGCATAAAGCGCCTGATGTCAAGGGGAATTTACGCGATGCGCCGGTGTCCATTACCATGGTTTTTGAATTCGCTGTTACGGACAAGATATTTGCGTTATCAGATTAGATATAGTATCAGTTTACAGGTATTGTTTTCCGATTAAGTGTGATATATAACAATAAGTGATAGGATGAAAATTCTTCAATTGCCAGTCACAGTCCGGTTTATTTTTGATCATCCCTGGTACATGTACATGCTATATAGAGTCTATGAAATTGTAGCTGAATTTTTATCTGATTTTCCTTACAGATATAAGGCAGCATGAATAGTTTGTACTTGGTGCATCTGCTGTAAAAGAGGACATTAACAATGATGAGGCTGTTTACCACCAGGGTCAGTAGTGACAAACTTATTTTAGAAACAGTAATATAAAAATAAAATTACCTTACACTGTCAGAAAACTGACAGTTATAGAGGAATATAAAAAAAATTCAACAGTAAGAACCTATTTAAAAGCTCAATGACTGTGACTGACAAATATTATTACAAAGACATACAAAATAATTGAATAAAAACTATTGACATTTAGTTTATAAGGATTTCACTTGAATTATACATTTTCATATTTATCTGTTCATGACATTTCATATGAGATAGTTTGTAAAAAAATATTGTATCAAATTACAATGTTAATTATTTGATTTTAAGTCAGATTATTCTCTGTAATGTTTCAGAATACTGCTGAATTCTGGAAGATTTACAGATAAACAATCCTATGGTTGGAATCAATATCCAAGGACAGCTCTCCCTTAAAGGGGCCAATTGTTGTGACCTTGTTATATGGCCAACAAAGGACATAAAAGTCCTAAAGATAGTTAAGAAGAAAGTTATATAGACTATTAAACATTTTATCAATTTAAATTGAATAAAGTACATTATGTATAATTTAATAATTCCATAATAACTTTGTTTCTACATGCACATGAATAAAAATAACACTTAAGTATGGTCACAAAGGGACAGTCAGTGCTCTACAATTATTACCCTGAATGCATGTAAGAAGCTTTATGTGAATGCTTTTTTTATTAATGATTAATGAAAACATATACATAGGTTAAGGTCTTTAAGTTGTTTCTGAATGTACATGTTTGTACTGACTGTATATTCACTTGTCTTAAATGTCAAAACTATAGCTATTAATGTATGTCAAAATCAAATAATTATATTTCTTGAAGTGATAACTTTACTGAATTATTCTCTTGAATAACATTATGAAATGTTTGATTCATGTTCAAAACTTGAAAGGAATACACAGCAAAATGATGTTTTTCTCTGTATTCAATATGATTAAAGTGACTTTACAAAAACAAAGATTTATGTGTTACAATTCATCTGAAAGTAAAATGACATGAGATAAATCAATGTAACATATGTGTTTATATTGATATTTATTTATTTATTGTTACTTTAATGCATTAAAAATTGTTGGGATGAATATTAAAAACACAAAGAAAATAACACAAAAGGGACAATAATGACAATAAACAATCTTAATGTAAAGCTGTGAAACTTTGGAAGTGACATTTTATATTTAATGTGCTAAATTTATTCTTTGTCTTAACTGCTCTTGTCTGAATAGTACCCTGTGTCTGTTAAAACATATTGTTTTATATTGTTATCTAGTTTCAAGATTGTTTTCTAGCAGAAATGTACATGAATTCTAAACAGGTATTATCAAAAATTAATAAGAATTAGAAAAAGTTGTAACATGTCATTTCAATGTCATAATTTTCTGTGCAATATGTATTCATTTTCATACTGGAATAATAGTAAAAGACTTTGTAACATTCTAACACTTACTGTTCTGTAAATACTTTTACAAATAAGCCAGCCATATTGTTTTCAACTTTTCCTTAATCTTAGCTGAAACTGCTGAGAAAGACTCTTCTAATGTTTGCAGATGTTGTTTAGCATTTAACCTCAGAGCCCTGTACAATTTATTTTATTCAAGCTGTGGCTCCTGTAACTTATTCAATGTCTTGAACGCACATACAGTTTGAACCTTGATGGGTGTCTCTGTATTCAAGCATCAACAGCGCTTTGTTCGAAGAATAACCAGAGTGACGCTACCGCTTTTATAAGAAATAATGTGCCTAACATGCTGAAGGGATTTAAAAATTTCGTCTATATAACATGTTTTGTAGACGGATTTATGTCCTCCTTTGTGATGCATCTCTTTATTTTGATCCACAAATAAGAATCTATTCGTCTTTATCAATGATTTACTGTTTTTTGTTATGTAATAAAGATCAATATGCAATGTATCCAATGTATTTTTTTAAAATTTTCTATAAGAAAAGAAATCACATTCTCACACAAAAAGACTTCTCGTTTTTTTGTACTTTATTTAGTTAATTTGGAAAACAAAGTAACACCTCGGAAGCATTAATCACAACATAATTGCAGACTCGGTTTGATTGAGTCTGCACATGAGGGATAATGAATCCGTGCAACATCCCTCACGCCCTTAAACGTATTTAAATGTCCTTTTTGATCCTCCCCCATGCTTTGCCGTTATTAAAGCTACTTTGACGAGGCATACACGGTATTAAGTTTATGCATAAGTTTTTAGCTCACCTGAGCATGCTCCGGGTGAGCTTTTAGGATCGATGATTGTCCGTCGTCCGTTCACATTTTGTTGTTAACACTCTAGCGGTCGCATTTTTGCCTCAATCATCATCACAACTTGGTCAGGATGCTTATCTAGTTGATAGCTCGGATGAGTTCGAACATGGGTCATCTCGGATGAAAAACTAGGTCACAAGAGCTAAAAATAGAAAAACCTTGTTAACACTCTAGAGGTCACATTTTTGCCTCAATCATCATCAAACTTGGTCAGGATGTTTGTCTAGGTGATAGCTCGGATGAGTTCGAACATGGGTCATCTCGGATGAAAAAGTAGGTCACCGGAGCTAAAAATAGAAAAACCTTGTTAACACTAGCGGTCACATTTTTGCATCAATCATCATTAAACTTGGTCAGGATGCTTGTCTAGGTGATAGCTCTGATGAGTTCGAACATGGGTCATCTCGGATGAAAAACTAGGTCACAAGAGCTAAAAATAGAAAAACCTTGTTAACACTCTAGAGGTCACAATTTTGCCTCAATCATCATCAAACTTGGTCAGGATGTTTGTCTAGGTGATAGCTTGGATGAGTTCGAACATGGGTCATCTCGGATGAAAAAGTAGGTCACCGGAGCTAAAAATAGAAAAACCTTGTTAACACTCTAGCGGTCACATTTTGGCATCAATCATCATCAAACTTTGTCAGGAAGCTTGTCTAGGTGATAGCTCGGATGAGTTTGAACATGGGTCATCTCGGATGAAAAAGTAGGTCACTGGAGCTAAAAATAGAAAAACCTTGTTAACACTCTAGCGGTCACATTTTTGCATCAATCATCATCAAACTTGGTCAAGATGCTTGTCTAGGTGATAGCTTGGATGAGTTCGAACATGGGTAATCCTGGATGAAAAAATAGGTCACCTGAGCTAAAAATAGAAAAACCTTGTTAACACTCTAGAGGTCACATTTTTGCATCTATCATCATCAAACTTGTTCAAGATGCTTGTCTAGGTGATAGCTTGGATGAGTTCGAACATGGGTAATCCTGGATGAAAAAATAGGTCACCTGAGCTAAAAATAGAAAAACCTTGTTAACACTCTAGCGGTCACATTATTTGCCTCAATCATCATCAAACTTGGTCAGGATGCTTATCTAGGTGATAGCTTGCATGAGTTCGAACATGGGTCATCTCAGATGAAAAACTAGGTCACCGGAGCTAAAAATAGAAAAACCTTGTTAACACTCCAGCGGTCACATTTTTGCCTCAATCATCATCAAACTTGGTCAGGATGCTTATCTAGTTAATAACTCGGATCTGTTCGAACATGGGTCATCTCGGATGAAAAACTAGGTCACAAGAGCTAAAAATAGAACAACCTTGTTAACACTAGCGGTCACAATTTTGCCTCAATTATCATCAAACTTGGTCAGGATGCTTGTCTAGGTAATTGCTCGGATGAGTTCGAAATCGCATGTGAAACTAGGTCACAGGAGCTAAAAATAGAAAAACCTTGTTAACACTCTAGTTGCTACTGTTTTGATCCAAGTATCCTTGAAATTAATCTGAAAGTTTGTTTTGATGATTTCTAGGTCAAGTTTGAATATGGGTCACCAGGGTAAAAAACTAGGTCACACTGCTCAAATATGGATAATCCTTGTTAACACTGTAGTGGTCACATTTTTGACTCACCTGTCATGAGACGTGGTCAGAATGCTTGTCTAGGTAATTGTTTGGATGAGTTTCAGGTGAGCGATCTAGGGCCATCATGGCCCTCTTGTTTTATAGTATATATATGGGATTTTTAAAAAATCGTTATTTCTTTGTTTTGGATAGAATTTCGGGGTCCTGTGGTTTATCATCTTTATGCAGTCGTGTTTACATTGACAGGTGCGCGGGAAATCACGTGACCCGGAAACGTACTTTCGACTGTATGGTTACTGTTTATACGGTCGTACGACCGAAAATGGTCTTAGCTGCGACTGAGGGCGTACGACCGTGTTCATAAAACGGTCATGAGGAAATCGTAAGCTCGGTCGTAAGTATCGGTCGTAAGATAAGATCGCAGTTACGACCGTCTTTGTTGATAAAACGGCACCCAACTGTTTATAACTTGATATGTGATTGATTATATGATTGATTGATCAATGTTACCTTGTACATATTCAGATTAAATACGTAATAAGGTTTTGCATAAGATTGTTTATACATTTAACTTAAAAACAAAACTCATAAAATGGGAAACATACTACTGCCATTGTTACATTTTGTACAATGTTTTTCTTTAACTATGTAAGGCAAATTATCGTACTGGTGCTAAGTAATTTGAATACAATTTACACATATAACTTAATTTGCCACTCATAACTGATGTTAAATTAGGTGGTGTTTACTTCATGTTTATTTCATGATTTCATAATTTTCATAATTTCAAAATTCTGCACTTTCATATAACTATAACGATAAGTTAAGTATAAGTGATATAAATATCAAAAGTTTTGCTGTCCAAGGCATTATGCAATCCACAGAGGTTAACAATACCCACTGTCATTTTGAAAGAAAGACAAAACACTTAAAATGGCAGAAGTGTTCAGTCCAATATCACTCGTTTGTGTTCTTAAAACAGTACGTCCAAACGTCAAAGACAATATGGTGGGTTAAAGTTGACTATATCCCTATAACAAAAGTTTAAAAGTTGAGAGTTGTCTCAGATGCACCATTTAGCGTTAAATAAGAGACGTCATTTGCACAACAAATACTTATTAAACAAAATGCCACCCTGTTGACCTACTCAGCTATTTTGCATAAATCAACAGGGTGTCTATACCTTTTTGTCAACATAATCATTTTCAGTCTTATGCTCAAATTTATTATGTAATTGGAACATGCAAAGCAAAATTAATCTAAGTTTCTAAGTTAAAAATAATTCCTGTACATCTACTTCCAACTCGTAAGGTAATACCACCTGTAATTATAAAGTGATTTGAACCTTTGAACTGAAAAGTATCCATTGCCAAAACTATTTTTTAAAAAGAAAAAAAAATATGTTTGGTTAAACATTTTCATTCGATTGAAACGTAGAAAACATGATTTTGTGAAGAAATGTTACAAAGTCTAAAGACCATATAAAAACATTAAGGAATCTTTAAATTGTCATATTGTTTCATCAAAAGTTTGTTGAAGTAAAATAGAATTAATATTTGACTGAAACTCTTAGATATTGAGAATTGCTTTTATACGAATGAGTTATTGATGTAAACAATTCAGTTAAAAACATTAAAAGCAAACGTATACTTAATTGTTATTGTATGTTAGAAATTGTTTGAAAAGAAGTTGTATGCCACTTTATATATAAATACATGTAGTAATTGAAGTACAGTAGTTCATTGAAACACCATAACCAGATCTGTAGCATCTTTGAAAATTTGTGAGCTTTGAGTTGCGTTTCATATTTTTCATTTTTTTAAACAAAACATTAAGTAATGCTGTTCTTAGAAAAGGAAAATACATAGGTTTATTCTTTTTTATGTTACAGAGAAAGGAATTCGTTGTTGATGTTGTTTTTTTTTCAAAGTTTAAGCAGTTACATCTTTCAAGCATTTTTGTGTGTTTTGTAAGTCAAATAATGTTCAACATGCTGTTTGTTTGCAAGCTACAGGTATTCAAAATTGAATTTGGAATTAATTAATGATATAATAAACGAAACCAAAAGTAAATCTGAATTCCAAATATTTTATAGTGTACAATCTTAATGTGAAAATAGCATATCATATGATAAAAGTTTTGCTATTTAATATGGTAAATATCAATACAATGACGATGTTTCTGAATTTTGTTTTCGTTTTGTTTAAATCAATGTGATACATTTTCAAGATCAGTAATATTTTGTTGTTGTTTTTTTGTTCATTTGCAAGGCTCACTATTTCATGTAAATGGTCATAGGATAATGAAGCCCGAGTTCAATTTCAACCTTAAAATGCCTGTTCGTGGCTATTAGCACTTCACCGCATTGTCTTGATTTCTATTATTGACTTTTAAGACTAAATTTACTGTTTTGATCCTGATCACATTCCATGCTCTGTGGTGCCTAAATAAATGTGGATCCAGACTATTCGTTAAAGCACTCAATTTCTAGTTACGTTTAAATGTAATATAATTTCAGTATAAAACAGTAAAATAGTCATTATTTCACACTGTTGTAACTCCTAAATGTAATGATATTTTAGGGTCACATTGCTGTAACTTATTGCAGCACTCTGGTTCTTGTATTGTTTTCAATAAAATATATTCTTCAGTGATTTTTCATGTTTTTATTTTCAAAAAAAAAAAAACTATCTACAGGAACTTCTTTGTAATTAAAAGTGTAAAAGTTAAAATAATTCTGCACACTATGATATATTTTATATTATAATTGGTTAAGTAAGTGTGAAGATATAGACTGTTAAAACTTTGAAGTCGATTTTCTCAAAATTGTGAA